TTTTTTACGATTGTGCGATTGACTTTGGAGGAGTGCACCTGCCAGGCGTTGTTTGTGGTTGAAAACACACAAAAAAAGGCAGGGGTGGATGTGACTAGGGTAGGCCTAGCTACTAGTTACAAATCTGATAACGAACAATAAGCCGAGACGCAGTATTACAGTCTGACGCAACATAGCAGGTGGCTTATTGGATCGGACTGATAACAATCTCAAAGCCAACGCGTGCTATTTTGGGAAACGGTACAAGGGGATTCAGACGGCCTGTCAACTTTGATTGATAGGATGCAGATGTTATTTCACGGACTGTAAGTTAGAACTGCGCAACTAGTGGTCGGAGACATCGAGTACAAGGATCGATTACGGAGGAATACAAGTACGAAGACGAGTACGGATACAAGGCATAAATAGGAGGGGACGCCTGAACTCGCTCTCTTTCCTTTTCGATCGCTCGCTTTAGATCAGTCAGTCTGTGTGACAGTTGGTTATATTGTGTTAAGAAGGACAATAGACATGTGGATTCAGTTATATGAAGCCTAGTGAGGACTGTTAGGGGTCAGTTGATTCAGACTATTATTGTGAAGCATTCCTGTTGATTCATTGTGTTATATTGAAGCATTTCTTGATTCATGTAATAAAAGGATCAATAGCGAACCTGCATCTTCGAGTCTTTCTACTGTAGTCGATGTTGTGTAGCATGAGTGGTTAAACTCGTTACATTTGGCACTACAGGCAAATAGTCTCGTAACATGTGGCGTTGCGAGCGGGGTAACTGTTCGCTCGTTACATATATACATCCAACTGTGATGGGTACCTGGCTCGCATTAACAAAGTAAAGGCGGCTGGGGACGCAGAAATAACAACACTAACTCTTGTAAGCATAGGACACAGAACACTCTACTTCATCTACGCTATTAACCGCCAATAACTAATTGTTAACTTTGATTTCATATCACACCTCATATCGCCCATTCATCACCCCGCCATCTCCTACGCTTCTCATCATCGTGTGTTGTAAGAGCACTGCTCTATCATCTCTGCACACCAGTTTATATTTAGATCCTCTCATGGCGTCTTTCTGCACGGTGTTACTTCCGTTCAATATGAAAGTTAAGCTCAGTATCATTGATGATTCTTTGTTCGAATCAACCCTAATGTGATGAAGGGTTTGTATCATATGACCCTAAAGTGATAACGGGTTTGTATCCAATGATCATAATGTGATAAAGGGTTTGTATCCAATGACCCCATCTGATAAAGAGTTTGTATCCAATGACCCCATCTGATAAAGGGTTTGTATCCAATGACCCCATCTGATGAAGGGTTTGTATCCAATGACCCTAAAGTGATAACGGGTTTGTATCCAATGATCATAATGTGATAAAGGGTTTGTATCCAATGACCCCATCTGATAAAGGGTTTGTATCCAATGACCCCATCTGATGAAGGGTTTGTATCCAATGACCCCATCTGATAAAGGGTTTGTATCCAATGACCCCATCTGATGAAGGGTTTGTATCCAATGACCCTAAAGTGATAACGGGTTTGTATCCAATGATCATAATGTGATAAAGGGTTTGTATCCAATGACCCCATCTGATAAAGGGTTTGTATCCAATGACCCCATCTGATGAAGGGTTTGTATCCAATGACCCCATCTGATAAAGGGTTTGTATCCAATGACCCCATCTGATGAAGGGTTTGTATCCAATGACCCCATCTGATGAAGGGTTAGTATCCACAGACCCCATCTAATAAATGGTTTGTATCCAATGACCCCATCTGATGAAGGGTTTGTATCCAATGACCCCATCTGATGAAGGGTTAGTATCCACAGACCCCATCTAATAAAGGGTTTGTATCCAATGACCCCATCTGATAAAGGGTTTGTATCCAATGATCCTAATGTGATAAAGGTTTGTATCCAATGACCCTAATGTGATAAACGGTTTGTATCAAATGACCCTAATGTTTTAAAATTTTTTTTTTGGACGATGCTTACGTCCCTCCTCCACAACGTCACAAAACGTCATACCACAACCCTTAAAAAATGACGTCATATCACAACCTACAACCCTTAAAAAATGACGTCATATCACAACCTACAACCCTTAAAAAATGACGTCATATCACAACCTACAACACTTAAAAAATGACGTCATATCACAACCTACAACCCTTAAAAAATGACGTCATATCACAGCCTACAACCCTTAAAAAATGACGTCATATCACAACCTACAACCCTTAAAAAATGACGTCATATCACAGCCTACAACCCTTAAAAATGACGTCATATCACAACCTACAACCCTTAAAAAATGACGTCATATCACAACCTACAACCCTTCCCAGATTGAAATTTTTATTTTTTAAAACAACTACTTTTCTTTTTAAAACATTTTCAGTGCTCTGTCAAAATTGAGTAAGTCTATATTAATCACTCTCTATACAAATAAAAAAGGCATTTTGAAATCACATCCTGTGTACTCCACAGTAACCTTATCATGACGATAATCTGTGGTGCTATTTGTGTAGTGATGGCATTCATCATACAAGCAGGTACTTTGTTGTGTTTCAGCCGGGTAGCCTCTAGCACAGAGGCGTAGCGACCCTTCCCGGCGCCGGGGGATAAACTTTCGATTCGGCGCCCCCATCGCATATATTTTTTATATTTATAATGCAAAACTGCAGCTAAAATGAGCTTTTAATTTTTTTCCAACCCATTTTAGCGCCCCCTAGGGTCGGCGCCCGGGGACATATGTACCCCCCCCCCCCCCTCTCGCTACGCCTCTGCTCTAACATCAGCACACAAAAACAGTGGTCGATAAAAATTTTGTAAACCTCTGTCTTAAAGACTTTATATACACGCAGATTTTTCCCATAAATAAACGCATGCTTTGAACGACAAACACACATTCCCGCGTGTATGTAACGTCATACAATCAAACACACAACCCACGCGCACATTCACACGCTGTGTGAGGAGTTGTTTGTGTTTGTTGACTACGTGTTTGATTTTGTGAATAACATTACACGTTTAAGTTCTTTTTCTTGTCAAACATCGTCACCAAATTATGTCATTCATGTACACATTTATACATTGTTCACAATAACTATAGGCCTGCATTTGATAACTACATATTATTCAGGTAGACTACAAATATCTACACTTGTGTACCACACACAGACTAAACAAATGAACCACACCCACACAGACTGAACAACTGTACCACACACCCACACAGACTAAACAAATGTACGACACACCCACACAGACTAAACAAATGTACGACACACCCACACAGACTAAACAACTACGACACACCCACACAGACTAAACAAATGTACGACACACCCACACAGACTAAACAACTGTACCACACACCCACACAGACTAACTGTACCACACCCCCACACATACTAAACAACTGTACGACACACACACACACACACACACAAACTAACTGTACAACAGCCACACAGACTAACTGTATCATACCCCCACACAGACTAAACAACTACGACACACCCACACAGACTAAACAACTGTACCACACACCCACACAGACTAAACACCTGTACCACACACCCACACAGACTAAACAACTGTACCACACACCCACACAGACTAAACAACTGTACCACACACCCACACAGACTAAACACCTGTACCACACACCCACACAGACTAACTGTACCATACCCCCACACATACTAAACAACTGTACGACACACACACACACACAAACTAACTGTACAACAGCCACACAGACTAACTGTACCATACCCCCATACAGACTAAACAATTACGACACACCCACACAGACTAAACAACTGTACCACACACCCACACAGACTAACTGTACCATACCCCCACACAGACTAACTGTATCATACCCCCACACAGACTAAACAACTACGACACACCCACACAGACTAAACAACTGTACCACACACACACAGACTAAACAAATGTACCATACACACAGACTAAACAACTCTACCACACACACACAGACTAATTGTACAACACCCACACAGACTAATTGTACAACACCCACACAGACTAAACAACTGTACCACACACCCACACAGACTAAACAACTGTACCATACACACAGACTAAACAACTGTACCACACACCCACACAGACTAACTGTATCATACCCCCACACAGACTAAACAAGTGTACCACACACCCACACAGACTAAACAACTGTACCACACACCCACACAGACTAACTGTACCACACATCCACACAGACTAACTGTATCATACCCCCACACAGACTAAACAAGTGTACCACACACCCACACAGACTAAACAACTGTACCACACATCCACACAGACTAACTGTATCATACCCCCACACAGACTAAACAAGTGTACCACACACCCACACAGACTAAACAACTGTACCACACATACACAGACTAAAAAAATGTACCACACACCCACACAGACTAAACAACTGTACCACACACCCACACAGACTAATTGTACAACACCCACACAGACTAACTGTACCACACACCCACACAGACTAAACAACTGTACCACACACCCACACAGACTAACTTTACCACACATCCACACAGACTAAACAACTCTACCACACACCCACACAGACTAACGGTACAACACCCACACAGACTAAACAACTGTACCACACACCCACACAGACTAACTGTACCACACATCCACACAGACTAACTTATCATACCCCCACACAGACTAAACAACTGTACCACACCCACAGACTAAAAAAACTGTACCACACACCCACAGAGACTAAACAACTGTACCACACACCCACACAGACTAATCAACAGTACCACACACCCACACACACTACCTGTACCACACCCACACTAACTAAACAACTGTACCACACACCCACACAGACTAAACAATTGTACCCCACCCCCACACAGACTGTACCCCACCCCCTTACAGACTAACCACACCTGTCTACCACCATCATCCAGGCACCCCCAGTGAGGCGCATCTCACCAAGTACGTCATAGCCTGGCCTGTCGAGCCCCACCGAGGATCCTCTGAGTTCTTGATCAGCACCGTGACCGTTACAGACATTTCGGTAAGGGGAGGCTCTACCGTGACCGTTACAGACATTTCGGTAAGGGGAGGCTCTACCGTGACCGTTACAGACATTTCGGTAAGGGGAGGCTCTACCGTGACCGTTACAGACATTTCGGTAAGGGGAGGCTCTGCTGTGACCGTTACAGACATTTCGGTAAGGACAATAGAGGCTCTGCTGTGACCGTTACAGACATTTCGGTAAGGGGAGGCTCTACTGTGACCGTTACAGACATTTCGGTAAGGGGAGGCTCTGCTGTGACCGTTACAGACATTTCGGTAAGGACAATAGAGGCTCTACTGTGACCGTTACAGACATTTCGGTAAGGAGAGGCTCTACTGTGACCGTTACAGACATTTCGGTAAGGACAATAGAGGCTCTACTGTGACCGTTACAGACATTCCGGTAAGGACAATAGAGGCTCTACTGTGACCGTTACAGACATTTCGGTAAGGGGAGGCTCTACTGTGACCGTTACAGACATTTCGGTAAGGGGAGGCTCTACCGTGACCGTTACAGACATTTCGGTAAGGGGAGGCTCTACTGTGACCGTTACAGACATTTCGGTAAGGACAATAGAGGCTCTAAAACAATTGTATGGATAGTGTCTGAAGTGTGCATGGGTAGAGACAACAACAATTGTATGGATAGTGTTTGAACATATGCATGGGTATAGACAATAACAATTGTATGTATAGCGTCTGAACGTATGCATGGGTAGAGACAACAACAATTGTATGGATAGTGTTTGAACATATGCATGGGTATAGACAATAACAATTGTATGTATAGCGTCTGAACGTATGCATGGGTAGAGACAACAAAAAGAGAAGTCCCGAAGAAACCTTGACCTCCGCCATTTTGACCTTTGACACGTGTACAAAGCTACCCTTTTCCCCAGATCGACGGTACTGTGACCACTGAAGGCGTGACCTACAAATGGAGGGACACGGTATGGACGGACGGGTGGGAGACCCGGGCCTACGCCCCACCCCTCAACTACACCCAGCACTCGTCTCCTCGAGGGTTGCGTAAAGTCCGGTAAACATTTCATCTGGCGTCTGACTGTTGAAAATCTTCAATTAACCAGTGTTTCTTTCATACTTTTTTCTGTCTTCAAACTTTCTTTTCCGCCCCTCGCCCCCCCCAATCCCTCGTTACACATGGTCACAACATTTTTAACCCTCCCTCCTTAGGAGTCAGTGTTTCTTCAGACTTTTTTTCCCCGGGGAGCACTTTTTTCTCCGGGGGTCCCGGGCAGAGGCGTAGCGAGGGGGGGGGGGGACGGGACATATGTCCCCGGGCGCCGACCTTAGGGGGCGCCAAATTGAAAGGTTGAGGGGGGGGGGGTGCAAATGAAAAGTTCGATGGGGGGGGGGTGCAAATCGAAAGTTTGAGGGGGGGGGGTACAAATCGAAAGTTTGAGGGGGGGGTGCAAATGAAAAGTTCGAGGGGGGGGGGGGCGCAAATCGAAAGTTTGTCCCCGGGCTACGCCTCTGGTCCGGGGGGGGGGGGGTGAGGGGTGAGTGGGGGGTGGGGGTAGACTTTCATCTGGTGGGACTTAGCCTCCCCCCCCCTCCCTCCGAAGAGATGCCTGGAAGAAACTGTGCAAGTAATTCGAGTCGTTTAAAGACTTAAGGCCGACCTCTATTCGACGTTTACGATGTGCCCTTGTGCCTTACAATAGTTCAGTCTTTATTGAGTAACTGTAAAGAGTTTCTTCCAGGCTTCGCCCCCCCCCCCCCCGAACGAAATGAAATTTATATAATTCATATAGAAAATATATACTTTTAACAACAGTGTCCGCCCCCCCCCCCCAAGAAGAAAGTCTACCCCCCCCCCCCCCCCCGAAAATTTCAAGTGCCCCCCGCCGGAGAAAAAAGTCTGGAAACACTGGAGTTAGAGGATTGTATTTAAACAAACGAGACATCCTAGTTTATAACCTTAGTCATCTCGCAAACTATGGCTACGGCTACAGCTAATGTCTGTCATTTTATCATCAGCCCTTTCTATATTTCCTTAGTCATCTCGCAAACTATGGCTACGGCTACAGCTAATGTCTGTCATTTTATCATCAGCCCATTCTATACTTCCTTAGTCACCTCTTGTGGTCGAGTGATAGAGAGATCGACTGTTATCCCGAAGGTCTCGAGTTCGCTATTCGATCTTGACTATAGTAAGACTTCCCGGAGTCGACCCAGCTTTAATGGGTACCTGACCACGTTGCGGAAAGTAAAGGCGACCGGTGCTTAGTGCCGACCACACTATCCTACTATACGCCTAACCCTAATAACTAGACTTGAGATTAAATACAATCAACAACCTAATACACCTATTTTTGGAAGAGTCTATTGTTGGGTGATACCAATAATCTATAAATATTTTTCTCTCAGACACATGGACGAAACAACCCTCATTTTGATGACCTTGACATCTGTCAACAACTTCGCGTTGACCTTGGTTATGTACACCATTGCTGGCACGTTTGAAACGTTTCAAGCCACGCCCACTTCATCCTGGGGGAGGAGCTACTACCCGTTCGCTATGCAGTGAGTTTTGGCATTTAATTACAACAACAGCGGCTGTTTAGAGATATCTTAAGTAGATCTTGATTACTTTTATATTAGGAGGAGTGGCTTCTTTCAAACATTTTTATACGGATAGGTGGGGGCATCTGAACCTTTTGGGGGTGGGAGGAGCACTTTAAATTTCCGGAGGAGTAGGTCGGACCCTGGTTTGAGCATACTATATTTTATTTTTGTTTTTAAATTATATACGTTTTCACTTCGTCCCTTTCCCTTTTCGCCTGAAAGTAAATCTTCATTAAAATTTTTACTTCCTCGTATACTGTATACGAATTGTAGAGGAAGTGTTGTAATCGTGCAAAAAATCGAACAATTTCGACGTTTTACATCTTCCAGAGTCGAACAAAACAGTTTTACAATTTTGTCACTCCCGCTCTATTTTTAGTTAAATAGCAGTGAACTAGATAACACTTCTTTAATTTATCTTTGTGAAGTCTTCAATAGACACATGATACACACACAACTTACACATGCCACACAATGCGCGCACAAATACACACGCACAAGCGAACGCACGCACACCACACACACGTCACGTACACTCACCACACACTTAACAAAATGTCCCACACACACCTTACACTCAAACCACATTCACAGAAACACCACACACTACCAGACCGCCCACCCACCCCCGAACGAAATCTATATAGAAAATATTAACTTTTACCAGTGTCCGTCCACTCCCCCCCCTCCGAAAAATGTCAAGTGCCCCCTCCCCAGTAGAAAAAAAAAGTCAGAAACACTGCACACCACAATTTCGGTGTTCCGCACTCATAGTTGCGCAAAGAAAATCCTAAACAAACCCAACCCCTAACCCAACCACAACCCCTAACCCAACCCCAACCCCAACCCCTAACCCAACCCCAAACCCTAACCCAACCCCAACCCCTAACACAGCCCCAACCCCTAACCCAACCCCAACCCCAAACCCTAACCCAACCCCTAACCCAACTTAACCTGTTCCAGGGCGTCGCCCGTGTTCATCATTGTCAGCGACCTGGCGACCTCGGTCAGCGTGACGTCAGAAAACAGGACCCTGCTGAGGATGCTGGGACAGCGTGGGTCACCCAGGACCACGGGGAACACGCTCGTCTACTCAGTGGCAAGGTCAGGTCTTGGTCACGTGGATCCAATTAGAGATTTTGTTGGTTGTTCAGATGAAACTAGGTCTCATTTTAGATAGGTGTCTAAATCGATACATTTAGTCATTGTACCATTTATGCATTAGTCTGTTTTATCCTTTATATATATATATATATATATATATATATATATATATATATATATATATATATATATATATATATATATATATATATATAATTTCTAGCGAATCCAGTGTTGCTTTCGACTTTTGCTATGCTAAGGAGAGCCCAGGGATCTTGTTAGGTACTGTATTGATGAATAATTGAAAATATCAGTTGTTTAATATTGATGTATGACTTCACATCAATAAAAAAAATGACATTTGATTATTAACGTAAATCAGTGTTATAAAATATTAGCATATAGGTCTACCCCTCCTTCCTATATTGCTCAGTATAGCAATCAAATAAATATATCAATCGTCTTTGAGTTTCTTGACGTTCAGCGTATGATCCCTGACTAAGTAAGTAAAGTAAAATTTCCCTTTCAAACCTGACGGTCTATGGGTCAAGTGAAGTCGAGTTCACTTGTTTCTGTGACCTCGGCATATGAAGAGATAGTGTGGTCAGCACTATGCCCAGCCGCCTTTACTTTCCCTTACGTGAGTTAGGTACCCATCAGAGGGGTGGACTCAGGGACGGTCTACTGACTTGAACCCGGATTCGAGCTCGAGACGAACGGCTATTAGTCCAGCTCTCTACCGCTAGACCACCCCCTCCCATAAACAGATTCTATATTCTTGGTGCAGTTAATAAAAATCACTAAAAGGGACGGCGTGGCCTAGCGGTAGAGAGCTAAACATCTGACCCATTTGTCTTGGGCACCAACGGAAAAAAGATGATGTTGAAACTAAATAAAACCATCAGTAAAACCACACATCAAACGGTACTGCGGTGGATCTATTTTTAGACAAACTGGCTTTTAACTAACAACTGCAACTATTTAGACCCCAGTGGTGACGTCACAGGGCGGGTGTTGCCCGGTGTGATAACTGGAGGTGTCACCACCCGGTGTGGTAACTGGAGGGGTCACCACCCGGTGTGGTAACTGGAGGGGTCACCACCTGGTGTGGTAACTGAAGGTGTTAATACCTGGTGTGGTAACTAAAGGTTTCACCACCTGGCGTGGTAACTGGAGGTGTCACCACTTTGTGTGGTAACTGAAGGTGTCACCACCTGGTGTGGTAACTGAAAGTGTCACCAGGTGTGGTAACTGAAGGTGTCACCAGGTGTGGTAACTGAAGGTGTCACCACATGGTGTGGTAACTGAAGGTGTCACCACATGGTGTGGTAACTGAAGGTGTCACCACATGGTGTGGTAACTGAAGGTGTCACCACATGGTGTGGTAACTGAAGGTGTCACCACCTGGTGTGGTAACTGAAGGTGTCACCACCTGGTGTGGTAACTGACGGTGTCACCACCCGGTGTGGTAACTAAAGGTGTCACCCCACCACCACTCAACACTTATACATTTTTGGACAGATGTCCCCACTCTTCTACTATGTAAATATTTAATCTTGTGACCTTAATAGACAGGTCAGTGTAATCGTATTGACCAATGTCTTTCAGGCGTTTTAGTGACGTCAAAACGACCGGTTGGTGTCATATCCGGCAATTGTTGGTCCATGACCTCCATGCCGGCACAAGACACAGCGGTCAAGGTCAACCTCAGCCGGAATGTACTGGCAGGTAATGAAAAAGTTACAGTTTTAGTGTGATGGACAAAAGTTACAGTTTTAGTGTGATGGACAGAAGTTACAGTTTTAGTGTGGACAAAAGTTACAGTTTTAGTGTGGATAAAAGTTACAGTTTTAGTGTGGATAAAAGTTACAGTTTTAGTGTGGATAAAAGTTACAGTTTTAGTGTGGATAAAAGTTACAGTTTTAGTGTGATGGACAAAAGTTACAGTTTTAGTGTGATGGACAAAAGTTACAGTTTTAGTGTGGATAAAAGTTACAGTTTTAGTGTGATGGACAAAAGTTACAGTTTTAGTGTGATGGACAAAAGTTACAGTTTTAGTGTGGACAAAAGTTACAGTTTTAGTGTGATGGACAAAAGTTACAGTTTTAGTGTGGATAAAAGTTACAGTTTTAGTGTGATGGACAAAAGTTACAGTTTTAGTGTGATGGACAAAAGTTACAGTTTTAGTGTGGACAAAAGTTACAGTTTTAGTGTGATGGACAAAAGTTACAGTTTTAGTGTGATGGACAAAAGTTACAGTTTTAGTGTGGTGGACAAAAGTTACAGTTTTAGTGTGGACAAAAGTTACAGTTTTAGTGTGATGGACAAAAGTTACAGTTTTAGTGTGGTGGACAAAAGTTACAGTTTTAGTGTGATGGACAAAAGTTACAGTTTTAGTGTGGTGGACAAAAGTTACAGTTTTAGTGTGGTGGACAAAAGTTACAGTTTTAGTGTGGTGGAAAAAAGTTTAGAGTGATGGACAAAAGTTACAGTTTTAGTGTGGTGGACAAAAGTTACAGTTTTAGTGTGGATAAAAGTTACAGTTTTAGTGTGATGGACAAAAGTTACAGTTTTAGTGTGGTGGACAAAAGTTACAGTTTTAGTGTGATGGACAAAAGTTACAGTTTTAGTGTGGTGGAAAAAAGTTACAGTTTTAGTGTGATGGACAAAAGTTACAGTTTTAGTGTGATGGACAAAAGTTACAGTTTTAGTGTGGTGGACAAAAGTTACAGTTTTAGTGTGGATAAAAGTTACAGTTTTAGTGTGGTGGACAAAAGTTACAGTTTTAGTGTGGATAAAAGTTACAGTTTTAGTGTGATGGACAAAAGTTACAGTTTTAGTGTGGTGGACAAAAGTTACAGTTTTAGTGTGGTGGACAAAAGTTACAGTTTTAGTGTGGTGGAAAAAAGTTTAGAGTGATGGACAAAAGTTACAGTTTTAGTGTGGTGGACAAAAGTTACAGTTTTAGTGTGGATAAAATTTACAGTTTTAGTGTGATGGACAAAAGTTACAGTTTTAGTGTGGTGGACAAAAGTTACAGTTTTAGTGTGATGGACAAAAGTTACAGTTTTAGTGTGGTGGAAAAAAGTTACAGTTTTAGTGTGATGGACAAAAGTTACAGTTTTAGTGTGGTGGACAAAAGTTACAGTTTTAGTGTGGTGGACAAAAGTTACAGTTTTAGTGTGGATAAAAGTTACAGTTTTAGTGTGGTGGACAAAAGTTACAGTTTTAGTGTGGATAAAAGTTACAGTTTTAGTGTGATGGACAAAAGTTACAGTTTTAGTGTGGTGGACAAAAGTTACAGTTGTAGTGTGGTGGACAAAAGTTACAGTTTTAGTGTGGTGGACAAAAGTTACAGTTGTAGTGTGATGGACAAAAGTTACAGTTTTAGTGTGGTGAACAAAAGTTACAGTTTTAGTGTGATGGACAAAAGTTACAGTTTTAGTGTGGTGGACAAAAGTTACAGTTTTAGTGTGATGGACAGAAGTTACAGTTTTAGTGTGGACAAAAGTTACAGTTTTAGTGTGATGGACAAAAGTTACAGTTTTAGTGTGGTGGACAAAAGTTACAGTTTTAGTGTGGTGGACAAAAGTTACAGTTTTAGTGTGGTGGACAAAAGTTACAGTTTTAGTGTGGTGGACAAAAGTTACAGTTTTAGTGTGGTGGACAAAAGTTACAGTTTTAGTGTGGTGGACAAAAGTTACAGTTTTAGTGTGGTGGACAAAAGTTACAGTTTTAGTGTGGTGGAAAAAAGTTACAGTTTTAGTGTGGTGGACAAAAGTTACAGTTTTAGTGTGGTGGAAAAAAGTTACAGTTTAAGTGTGGTGGACAAAAGTTACAGTTTTAGTGTGGTGGACAAAATTTACAGTTTTAGAGTGGTGGACAAAAGTTACAGTTTTAGTGTGGTGGACACAAGTTACAGTTTTAGTATGAAGCACAAAAGTTACAGATGGACAAAACCCCAGAAAAGGGGATGACGAATAAACAGCGTGTTTACTGTAAATCTTGAACCTTTCTTCCAGAAATGCTGTTTCCCTTGGAGAAGTTGGGCACCGAATACGTCACACTCAGCACCTTCGGGAGGTTCGACCTTGGCCAGTACTACATCATCGCCTCGAAAGATAACACGCAGGTCAAGGTCGAGTGGAGGCTGGAGGACGTGGCCTTGACCTTCGTGCTGAAGCAGCACGAATGGAGGGTTGTGAGTTGTATTTTTTTTTAAATCGCTCTCTTGGGTTAGCCATACCACTTTATACGTTAAGGTCAATGCTAGTTTTTGGGGGCTAGACATGATATCTGTTCAAGTTGGAGGTTATTCATGAGCTATGGCAAGGACGTAACAGGTTTAGTATATAAGGGTAGACATAAAATCTAATTTTATGTTGACGTTGTGTGTTGGTTATGAAAAAGCAGCTTGCCTGGGTGTTTCAAGCTAGTTAGCTAATGAGTTAGGGATTAAAAGGCTTTTCACCTCTCTTAAACTCCGGGAAGAATTAGAATCTCTGATGCAGTAATCGACGACCCTAGCCCTAACTCTTAATCCTTACACTACGTTTTTAAACCTGATCTTTGTAACAGTCGTAGCGATAACACCAGACTTCGATGCTAACTTTGAATTAATCCGAAAAAAAAAACGAAACTTGGATACAAAACGATCTTGTCTACTGGCCTTTTACACGAAAAATTTAAACGTGACCTGCTGTTTTGAAGCCTCGCTTAGATGACACGACATTCATGTAATGTCACCACACTGAGACAAGATGACATGACATCTTTCATCACAATCACAACGCATGCCACGATGCTATGTCACCACACTGAGACAATATGACATGACATCTTCATCACAATCACAACGCATGCCACGATGCTATGTCACCACACTGAGACAAGATGACATGACATCATCACAATCACAACGCATGCCACGATGCTATGTCACCACACTGAGACAATATGACATGACATCTTCATCACAATCACAACGCATGCCACGATGCTATGTCACCACACTGAGACAATATGACATGACATCTTTCATCACAATCACAACGCATGCCACGATGCTATGTCGCCACACTGACAGTACCTGAGATTAAGCTAGGGCGGATTATGAACTATCACCCTATCACCAGGATAAACATACATGACATGTCATACTGACACCATACTTACCATACTTGACATGTCATCCTGTCATCACCACACTGACCATACATGACATATCACCCTGTAACCAGACTGACCACACATGACATGTCACCCTGTCATCACCAGACTGACCATACATGACATATCACCCTGTCATCACTAGACTGACCATACAAGACATATCACCTTGTCACCAGACTGACCATACATGACATGTCACCCTGTCATCTCCAGACTGACCATACATGACATATCACCATTTCCTCACCAGACTGACCACACATGACATGTCACCCTGTCATCACCACACTGACCATACATGACATATCACCCTGTAACCAGACTGACCACACATGACATGTCACCCTGTCATCACCAGACTGACCATACATGACATATCACCCTGTCATCACTAGACTGACCATACAAGACATATCACCTTGTCACCAGACTGACCATACATGACATGTCACCCTGTCATCTCCAGACTGACCATAAGGACATATCACCCTTTCCTCACCAGACTGACCATACATGCCATATCACCCTGTCACCATACTGATCATACATGACATGTCACCTTGTCCTCAGATCGACAGAAGCAGCGAGCTAGCCGTCATCACCAAACTGACCACACATGACATGTCACCTTATCCTCAGATCGACAGAAGCAGCGAGCTAGCCGTCATCACCAGACTGACCACACATGACATGTCACCTTGTCCTCAGATCGACAGAAGCAGCGAGCTAGCCGTCATCACCAGACTGACCACACATGACATATCACCTTGTCCTCAGATCGACAGAAGCAGCGAGCTAGCCGTCATCACCAAACTGACCACACATGACATGTCACCTTATCCTCAGATCGACAGAAGCAGCGAGCTAGCCGTCATCACCAGACTGACCACACATAACATGTCACCTTATCCTCAGATCGACAGAAGCAGCGAGCTAGCCGTCATCACCAGACTGACCACACATGACATGTCACCCTGTCACCACCAGACTGACCACACATGACATGTCACCTTGTCCTCAGATCGACAGAAGCAGCGAGCTAGCCGTCATCACCAGACTGACCACACATGACATGCCACCTTATCCTCAGATCGACAGAAGCAGCGAGCTAGCCGTCATCACCAGACTGACCACACATGACATGCCACCTTATCCTCAGATCGACAGAAGCAGCGAGCTAGCCGTCATCACCAGCAGCCAGCCCATCCAGGTGACCTTCGTCATGGACTCGGTCGACATGGACCATCAGCTGGCCAGCCACACCTACGGCCCCTCCCTCTGTGTCCTCGTACCCCCGGCCCTACACATCAGCTCCTACCTCATAGCGTAAGCCAATTTGATCTAGTCATTTTTCTACAAACTAGGACAGGTACTGACTAAAGCTGAGGCAGGATCATATTACAAAAGTTCAAGTTAAAATTTTGGCGTTTTCTAAAAAAAGAAACAAGAAACGTTCCTCTTTCAAACCAAACGATCAATAGGGCAGCTGAAGTAGAGTTTGGATCGATGATAGAATTCTTCGCTTTTTTCCTCTGGTACAAATGTATATATATATGTATATATATATATATATATATATATATATATATATATATATATATATATATATATATATATATATATATATATATATATATATATATATATATATATATATATATGATGTAGAGTTTAATGTTGTACCGGGCAGAGCGCACTATGATGTAGAGTTTAATGTTGTACCGGGCAGAGCGCACTTTGATGTAGAGTTTAATGTTGTACCGGGCAGAGCGCACTTTGATGTAGAGTTTAATGTTGTACCGGGCAGAGCGCACTTTGATGTAGAGTTTAATGTTGTACCGGGCAGAGCGCACTATGATGTAGAGTTTAATGTTGTACCGGGCAGAGCGCACTTTGATGTAGAGTTTAATGTGGTACCGGGCAGAGCGCACTTTGATGTAGAGTTTAATGTTGTACCGGGCAGAGCGCACTTTGATGTAGAGTTTAATGTTGTACCGGGCAGAGCGCACTTTGATGTAGAGTTTAATGTGGTACCGGGCAGAGCGCACTTTGATGTAGAGTTTAATGTTGTACCGGGCAGAGCGCACTTTGATGTAGAGTTTAATGTGGTACCGGGCAGAGCGCACTTTGATGTAGAGTTTAATGTTGTACCGGGCAGAGCGCACTATGATGTAGAGTTTAATGTTGTACCGGGCAGAGCGCACTTTGATGTTGAGTTTAATGTTGTACCGGGCAGAGCGCACTTTGATGTAGAGTTTAATGTGGTACCGGGCAGAGCGCACTATGATGTAGAGTTTAATGTTGTACCGGGCAGAGCGCACTTTGATGTAGAGTTTAATGTTGTACCGGGCAGAGCGCACTATGATGTAGAGTTTAATGTTGTACCGGACAGAGTGCACTTTGATGTAGAGTTTAATGTGGTACCGGGCAGAGCGCACTATGATGTAGAGTTCTCGCACCGATGTTGCCAGATTTCATGACGCGTTTGTTTCCCTCAGTCACCGCCCACTTGACTTAAGTCATAAGTCATGATCGGGGTGGGGTGCGTGGTGGGGTAATTGTGAGCCCCAAGACTTTGTGAAAGAGACGATGTTGTCTGGTAAGATGACGTTGTGCGGCAAACTTTGACCTTTGCGGCTAACTTTGACCTCTACGGCAGAATATTTTCATCAAACAAAAACAAAACAAACCAATGAATACAAATGCTCAAGGGTTTCAGAATACCCGAAGTAGAAAATGTTCAGCACTTCATGTCTCTGGTGATGGCGCCTCAAGTGGAACCTACGATACTTGTTAACACAAAACTGCTGAAACACATGTAAGGCTAGAGATTCATCTTGTGTTGTTGGTGTACTAGATCCTACTTGTGAACTAGATACTGTTTGTGTTGATGGTGTACTGGATCAACTTGAACCGTTGCGTATGTTTGTGTATGTGTATGTGTATGTGTATGTGTATGTGTATGTGTATGTGTATGTGTATGTGTATGTGTATGTGTATGTGTATGTGTATGTGTATGTGTATGTGTATGTGTATGTGTATATGTATGTGTATGTGTATGTGTATGTGTATGTGTATATGTATGCGTATGCGTATGCGTATGCGTATGCTTATGCGTAAGGGTATGTGTATGTGTAGGTGTATGTGTAGGTGTAGGTGTAGGTGTAGTGTAGGAGTAGTTGTAGGGGTAGGGGTAGGGGTAGGGGTAGGTGTAGGGGTAGGGGTAGGGGTAGGGGTAGGGGTAGGGGTAGGTGTAGGTGTAGGTGTAGGTGTAGGTGTAGGGGTAGGGGTAGGGGTAGGTGTAGGTGTAGGTGTAGGGGTAGGGGTAGGTGTAGGTGTAGGTGTAGGTGTAGGTGTAGGTGTAGGTGTAGGGGTAGGGGTAGGTGTAGGTGTAGGTGTAGGTGTAGGGGTAGGGGTAGGGGTAGGTGTAGGTGTAGGTGTAGGTGTAGGTTTAGGTGTAGGTGTAGGTGTAGGGGTAGGGGTAGGGGTAGGTGTAGAAGTAGGGGTAGGTGTAGGGGTAGGGGTAGGGGTAGGGGTATGTGTAGGTGTAGGTGTAGGTGTAGGTGTAGGGGTAGGTGTAGGTGTAGGTGTAGGTGTAGGTGTAGGTGTAGGTGTAGGTGTAGGTGTAGGTGTAGGGGTAGGGGTAGGTGTAGGGGTAGGTGTAGGGGTAGGGGTAGGGGTAGGGGTAGGTGTAGGTGTAGGTGTAGGTTTAGGTGTAGGTGTAGGTGTAGGGGTAGGGGTAGGTGTAGGTGTAGGGGTAGGTGTAGGGGTAGGGGTAGGGGTATGTGTACGTGTACGTGTAGGTGTAGGGGTAGGGGTAGGGGTAGGTGTAGGTGTAGGTGTAGGTGTAGGTGTAGGTGTAGGTGTAGGGGTAGGTGTAGGGGTAGGGGTAGGGGTATGTGCATGTGTACGTGTACGTGTACGTGTACGTGTATGTGTACGTGTACGCGTATGTGTATGTGTATGTGTATATTGTTTGTATAACAGGAGCGGCAAGTACAGCCGGCACGAGATACGCGAGTGGCTGGCCGTGTCAGTGAAGATCTCACCAGAAGACAGCTACGTAAGGTCCACGACAGGTCTGACCTTCGGCTGCTACATCTTCGGCACGGGTCTCGGCTTCTCATACATGCACAACCTGTGGACGCAGATGCCCTTGGTGCTGAAGGTTATGTTGCTATGGTTACGTAGCTGTTATATGCAGTAGTACCTCGACACGTGAGCGCCCCGATGCACGAGGTATTTTTAGATACGAGCAAGCTAAAATTTGCTTTGACACGCGAGCTAATTTAGAGACACGAGGAAACGGATTAAGGGGTTTAACAGTATGTGGTAAAGAAACACTCAAAAAAAAAAATAGCAGCTGATTTTGCACTGGAGTTATTTTATGGCACTTACCTAAATCATTTCCAAAACATTATGAAAGGTAGGAAAAAAAAACAAACCTCATTGGACGGGTTTATTTTAAGGGCGTAGCAACCCTTCCCGGCGCCCGGGGACAGATGTACCACCCTGCCCCCCCCCCCCATCGCTACGCCTCTGGCATAGGCCTACGTGGAAAAATCGGGAAAGTAACAAAACATTTATAGTAACATTTAGGTTCAATTATGCTCGGTGATGTTTAAGTTGAGTTGAGTGATAAAGTGTAGCGTTAAGAGAGTAACGAGTAGGGGAATTCCTTCCTTCCCTTAAATCCTCATCACTCCCTGTGGAGTGTAGGACAGCAACAAATCTCCGCCATTCCACTCTGCCTTGGGCGAGCCACTTTAGTTCATGCCAGGTCTTGCCAGTAGCCTGTACTTCTTCTTCCATCTCTCTCCTCCATGTTCCCAGCTGTCTTCCTCTCTTTCTCTTTCAAGATGGAGTCCACTTCAGCACCATGTTGGGGAGTCTTCTTTTGCTCATGCGTAGAACATGGCCCAGCCATCTCCATCTCCTCATTTGTACTTCTAAGACAAGCTTAATATGTCGACATATTACCTTGTTCGGGACTTTGTCGTCCCACGTTACTCTGAGGATACGTTGGAGGGATCTTCTTTCAAAGCCTCTGAGTCGGCTCTCTCCTTTCTTGTTTAGTTTCCATGACTCTGCAGCATAGAGGAGTACAGAACGTACATAAGACTTGTAGATCCTTATTTTAGTTCTCTGCTGCAGTGAGAATGATTTCCAGATCTTAGGGAGTCTGTTGAAAGCTTGTACTGCCATTGCTATTCTAGTGGCTATTTCTTTCTCCATGCTGCCATTTGCTGATATATATATCTGCCGAGGTACTTAAAGTCTTCGACCTCTTCTAGCTCTGCTCCATTCACAAAGGTCTTGAGAGCACTTTTTTCTTTAGGGGAATTAGAGTGACCGAAAGAGCTTAGAATTAACGGTGAGTATATGAACAAAGTGAAGCCGCCTGGGCCAACACCTCCATTAGCATCTTCCGTAAGCTCAAGTTTGTTGATTTTCTAGGTAAATATACTGCATAAAACCAGTTTATTTCTTAAAATTATCCTTTATTATGTTATTAAACGATTTTTGGGTTCTCCACAAGGTCAGTGCAAAGGATCAGCGGAGAAAGTACTTAAGTGTATTCACACATTATGTATTTTAACTCCTAAAATAATCTATTTAACAGCTCGATTCAGTAACCAAATTTACATGAGCAACTGTTTGATGTTAAAAGACCTATCATACTTAATTGTTAAAAAGAAAATACCTAGGTACAGTATTTACTGATCGCTTAGAAATATAACATACACCCATTTAAACAAATATTTGCAATAGACGCAATATTTTTGTTCAATATCCTATAGTTATGGAGTTTAGGAATTTGTAAGTTTCTTTCATCTCTTACAAGACACATGATGGTAGAGATTAACCAATACTAGTACCACATGATGGTAGAGATTAACAATTTTTATTGGCACACGATGGTAGAGATTAACCATCCCTAGTACCACGTGATGGTAGAGATTAACCATCTGTAGTACCACGTGATGGTAGAGATTAACTATCTCTAGCGACACATGATGGTAGAGATTAACCATCCCTAGTAACACATGATGGTAGAGATTAACCATCTGTAGTACCACGTGATGGTAGAGATTAACCATCTCTTTTCACAAGCTGTGCAGCCGGTTGATTGGTTACCTAAAATTTAGCCCGTATTTCACATCAAAATACCTCTCACTAGTCGGATCGTATTTCACATCAAAATACCTCTGACTAGTCGGCCCGTATTTCACATCAAAATACCTCTCACTAGTCGGCCCGTATTTCACATCAAAATACCTCTGACTAGTCGGCCCGTATTTCACATCACAATACCTCTCACTAGTCGGCTCGTATTTCACATCAAAATACCTCTCACTAGTCGGACCGTATTTCACATCAAAATACCTCTCACTGGTCGGACCGTATTTCACATCACAATACCTCTCGCTACTCGGCCCGTATTTCACATCACAATACCTCTCACTAGTCGGCTCGTATCTAAAACATCTCGACCGTCGAGGTACCACTGTATGGGCTTGTAACGGTCCAATGTTGCTCTATTCGATTAAACCTGGGTCCCAGTTCATCAGTTTTAAATGTATTTATTCCCTGTTGCAGGAAGCTGATGAAGGTTTTGCGGGTCTCAAGGGCGAAGAATCTGGTGAGTCGGTTACAAAACTCGTGTCGTTTCATCTAACGTTCAAATCAGACTTTGTACGAGTCAACTTCTAATCCTGAGTAAATGGAGCACTATATATATATATATATATATATATATATATATATATATATATATATATATATATATATATATATATATATATATATATATATATATATATATATATATAGCTTGAAGTAATCGAGTATAAATTTTTTATCTCATTTTACGCTCGCGGAAATTTGTGAAGTGTAACTTCATGTAATTAATTTTGAATAAATTCCTTTTTATTGTTATGTTATTCCCTAGAATGTCTCATGGAATCGGTTAGAACCTTTGCTTATCTTTAACACTACAGTTCTTGTACGCAGACACGGGTGTTAGATACTGTAGACCAGCCCCTACTGTTGTAGATCTGTTTATTGTATAAAACGTTTGTTGTTCTGGTAGGAGTAGTCTCCCCTGATGACCGGTCCTTTTATCCCGCGCAACACGGGTGTGGTAGTATAGTAGCTGGTGAATGTATCGCTGCCCCACCCCACAATATATCGCTGCCCCACCCCACAATATATCGCTGCCCCACCCCACCCACTAGCCGTATACCAGTAGCTGGTGAATGTATCGCTGCCCCACCCCACACACTAGCCGTTTGACTGTAGCTGGTGAATGTATCGCTGCCCTACCCCACACACTAGCCGTTTGACTGTAGCTGGTGAATGTATCGCTGCCCTACCCCACACACTAGCCGTTTGACTGTAGCTGGTGAATGTATCGCTGCCCCACCCCACCTACTAGGCGTTTGACTGTAGCTGGTGAATGTATCGCTGCCCCACCCCACCCACTAGCCGTTTGACTGTAGCTGGTGAATGTATCGCTGCCCTACCCCACACACTAGCCGTTTGACAGTAGCTGGTGAATGTATCGCTGCCCCACCCCACCTACTAGCCGTTTGACTGTAGCTGGTGAATGTATCGCAGCCCCACCCCACCCACTAGCCGTTTGACAGTAGCTGGTGAATGTATCGCTGCCCCACCCCACCCACTAGCCGTTTGACAGTAGCTGGTGAATGTATCGCTGCCCCACCCCACCCACTAGCCGTTTGACTGTAGCTGGTGAATGTATCGCTGCCCCACCCCACCCACTAGCAGTTTGTTATAGCTGGTGAATGTATCGCTGCCCCACCCCACCCACTAGCAGTTTGTTATAGCTGGTGAATGTATCGCTGCCCCACCCCACCCACTAGCCGTTTGACTGTAGCTGGTGAATGTATCGCTGCCCCACCCCACCCACTAGCAGTTTGACTGTAGCTGGTGAATGTATCGCTGCCCCACCCCACCCACTAGCAGTTTGACTGTAGCTGGTGAATGTATCGCTGCCCCACCCCACCCACTAGCAGTTTGACTGGAGCTGGTGAATGTATCGCTGCCCCACCCCACCCACTAGCAGTTTGTTATAGCTGGTGAATGTATCGCTGCCCCACCCCACCCACTAGCAGTTTGACTGTAGCTGGTGAATGTATCGCTGCCCCACCCCACCCACTAGCAGTTTGACTGTAGCTGGTGAATGTATCGCTGCCCCACCCCACCCACTAGCAGTTTGTTATAGCTGCTGAATGTATCGCTGCCCCACCCCACCCACTAGCCGTATACCAGTAGCTGGTGATTGTATCCATGACCCTCCCCTCCCCACTCTAAAAAGACTTAAAAATAATAAAAATAATTTGTTGCTTAGCGACAGATTGTGATTGTCCTAAGACATCTCTTGCCTCTTCGTCCAATGGTAAGTCGACATCATGAACACAACATCATGAACACCACAACATGAACACAACAACATGAACACAACAACATGAACACAACATCATGAACACCACAACATGAACACAACAACATGAACACAACAACATGAACACAACATCATGAACACAACAACATGAACACAACAACATGAACACAACAACATGAACACCACAACATGAACACAACAGCATGAACACCACAACATGAACACAACAACATGAACACAACAACATGAACACCACAACATGAACACAACAACATGAACACAACATCATGAACACAACAACATGAACACAACAACATGAACACCACAACATGAACACAACAACATGAACACAACAACATGAACACCACAACATGAACACAACAACATGAACACAACAACATGAACACCATAACATAAACATCATTACAACATGAACACAACAACATGAACACCTTAAGATGAACACCATAACATGAACACCACATCATGAACACAACAACATGAACACCATAACATGAACACCATAACATGAACACCATAACATGAACATCACAACATGAACACCATAACATGAACACCACAACATGAACACCATAACATGAACACCATAACATGAACACCACAACATGAACACCATAACATGAACACAACAACATGAACACCACAACATGAACACCACAACATGAACACCATAACATGAACACCACAACATGAACACAACAACATGAACACCATAACATGAACACAACAACATGAACACCTCAATATGAACACCTCAAGATGAACACCACAACATGAACACCTCAAGATGAACACCACAACATGAACACCTCAAGATGAACACTTCAACATGAACACCTCAAGATGAACACCACAACATGAACACTTCAACATGAACACCATTACAACATGAACACCATTACAACATGAAAACCACAGCATGAAAACCACAATATGAACACCTCTAGATGAACACCTCAACATGAACACCATAACATGAACACCATTACAACATGAGCACATCTACATGATCACAACAGCATGAACACCGCAACATGAACACTACAACATCAAGACCACAAGATGAACACCTCTACAACATGAACACCATTACAAGATGAACACCATTACAACATGAGCACCATTACAACATGAACATTACAACATGAACACCACAACAACATGAACACCATTACAATTTCAATATGAACACCACACCACGAACACCACAAGATGAACACCACATCGTGAACACAATTACAACATTAACACCAATGAACACCTCAAAATGAATACCACAAGATGAATATCCCAAGATAAACACCACAACACGAACACCATTACAACATTGACACCACAACATTGACACCACAACATTATGACCACCACATTCCCGTGAACTTTGACCCGATCTTTCCTTACATCGATATGCGACTATCAGGTGCAGCCAAGCCGTGGGTGAGTGACTTTGACCCCAACCGAGACATCATCTACATCTGTATCATCACAGCCCTGCTCTTCGCCCAAGGCATCACCCTCGTCGCTTTCTGCAGCATTAGAGCAAAGTAAACCTCACCTTCAACTTTTACTTTCTCTTTTCATTTCCACCGTTAATTTTTTTTTCTTTCTTTTAAATTTGAAGTTTCTCCATTTCCCTGTTTGGGATTTGTCTCTTATTTTCTCTGTGTTTATTTCTCTCGTTTGTTTATTGTAAATGTTTATTAACACGCTTTTATATTAGGGATATTGTAATGAATCGCAACACTGGGTGGATGGGTGTATTGGATGGCTTTAGTGGGGGAGGGGGGGTATTGTATTGGGCTGATGTAGTGGGTGGGCGTTTAGTGTTGCTATAATCTTTCTTTACCCGATGTTAATTAGTTCCATGGGTAATAAGACTGTCACTGCTACCATAACCTTTGTCCAACCAAGAGCAAACTACATGATAGCACTTGTTTGATTTTGGAGTTGTCTCCCTTAGATGGGCTGCTGTCCACAGCTATCGAGCCTCCTCTGGGGGATCAAACTCGGGATTTATTTTAGAAGCTATGAGCTTCACCTACCCGACCACGCCGACCCCTGTTTCATTTTATGATTTCCATTATAATCACAACAGGGATATAAAACTGTATGGGTTCAGTTTTTTTTTAGTCAGGTAGGGGCCTACTAATTAGGATTGAGCTGACTCACTAATGATGCGGATTCTAAAGAAACACACAATATATTTAAAAAAAAGTAATGACACTTTATTATTACTTAATAAAAACTGAAATGCAGCAGCTAAATGTAATCAAAATTTGTCCATGTGAGACAATGCAAATTTACCTTGAACTTACCATACAATGGCTCTCTCTCTTCCAGGTACAAAAAAACTGCAGAGGCGCGAGAAATGAGAGAACACAATAAAAAATACTCGAATGCTTCCAAATACCCGTATATGAATCGGCCGTAGCCAGGTACAGCGTTACATTTTAATAGCCTGTCAATTACACGGTTATAGTTACTGATTGTTAAGATTTTAATAGCCTGTCAATCACATTGTCAGAGTTTCTTTCGAAAAAATCTACCACCTCCCCCCGAACGAAATTGAATTAATATGGAAATAGGTCTATATACTTTTAACAGTGTCCCCCCCCCCCCCCCCCCCCAGAAATTTTAAGTGCCCCAGTGAAGAATAAAGTCTGGAGGAGACACTGCACACGGTTATAGTCACTGATTGTTAAGATTTTAATAGCCTGTCAATCACGCAGATAAAGTTACTGATTGTTAAGATAATAATGAAGTGTGTTCTGGGTCTTATACAGATGTTTGATGTAGTTTGTTAAATTTCGAAAGGGGAGGGGGTTTAATGCGGACTCTAGTATAAGTTTTTACTTCCTATATAAATTATATATTTTTATAACTGGTCTGGGATGGGGTGGTACCCCGGGGGAAACAAGCCTGAAAGATACTTTGATTAGAAGCCGCCTTCCACATCAGTACATTATACTCTAATATTGTTTTTGTTTACATTTCAGGGCCTGATTGTGTTACCTGCTTGTTAATGAAAACTTCAGCAGCAATAACCGGATTTTTTTTTACAATAAAAATTATATAAAAATTAATATCGTTATTCATATAATCACATTTTTTTCATAAATTAATTAATCATGAAAAAAGTTTTTAAAACTTCGTTAAAAGAAACATTTCTTTCGGTTAGATATTTGTATTTCACATATTTATGCATTTATTTTTTGTTTATTATTTTTACCCCGGCTTTAAAATATGTCTTGACCCGTGCTTTCTTGAATGATCCTCGATCTCATGGAAGAGTTATCGATTTACGCGTCACTGCCTCATAAATAATGGGGTCTTGTTCCTTTTGAACCAACGAATCCCAAACTTTTTGCTATCGCGCTTGCCTTTGAAAGATAGGAACGTTGACTCCTTCCTTTCATTTTAATAACGCTTTTAGCACTTTAAAGACAACAATTGTTAATTAATTTTTAAAGATGTATTCACATAGAAAATTCATTCCTTGCGTGGTTTTATGACATTCACATGTGGATGCAGGGTCCCCCAACACCCCTTGCTGGGTGACTGCTATTTTCTCTTGTTCAAGCTTGTAGTTACATTTACCCCGTAGCATATATTTTCGATTAAAATATACATAAGGAAGTAAAATAAAACCATAAATCACGCAGTGTTTGATTACAATGACGCAGAAAAAAATACTGCATGACACTGTATAGGTAACTGGGTTCTTATTCACTGAACATTTCACAACACACGACGAAACTTGGTCAAGAAAACCACACAGAGTTGATCACTGCTCCTGAAACAATATGAAGTGCAACTTCTATTTTCTACTGCAAGTGTTAGTTCTCCTCAACGTGGTAGTTGTGTATTCTACATCTGAACTATTCGCATTTAAATTCAAAGAATTTACAATTGCATTTGACAAAAGCACAGGACACAGGTAAGGTAGCCGATTTTCATGTTAGAGTATATATATATATATATATATATATATATATATATATATATATATATATATATATATATATATATATATATATATACTAGCTGCATCCCGTGCTCCGCCACTGTAAATCTTTTTAAATGTTCCAACTTGGGAACAGAACAAAACAAACAAAAACACAACACAAACAAAACACAACCACAACACTACCCCAACACAAACACAACACATCCACAACAACAACCGCAACTACGACAACACAACCACAACACAACCACAACACAAAACAAGCACAACACAACCACAACAATAGAATCACCACCGTTGTTTTCTAATCCCCCCACCCCCTCCTCCGGGAGAGATAAAGATAAGTATGTTAAGGGATCTCTCTCGTTAACTACTCATAGGAGACATGAGCGTTGAGCAACTGCAACAACACGAGGTTAGTAACTGTGACTCACCAAGTATTGGATTGTTCCTTTAACTTAAATACAAAGGTTCAGTCATAAGATTGATCATAAATGTGAGATGGCTACCCCCCCCCCCCCACTCCAAGAGACATAAACCTTCTAGACAACAACCCCCAATTGTATATGGAAATACTAATGATATCCGATACACAACTTGTAACACCAATTGAAATCTAACTACTAGCAAGATTGTATCTACATTGATAGAGCTAGCATCAACACAATCTTAAACAAAGGACACCTAAACGTGGGAGCCTTATAGATTTTTTTTTTACAAGGGGCCTACATATTGAGTATCAGAATATTTGTTAGGCATCGCCATCAATTTGTTAATGAGTTAAAACTATCAGTTCTTAATGAAAAAAATGTTATGTTTGGTATGTTTTTGAGTGCGAATTTTTCGTCTCATCATCGCTGACATTTCCTTTTGTAACCTCAGTCGGAGGATTTTTATAATGGGATTAGTGACCGATGTCTGTATGTTTGAAAGACATAACATATATAATTAACACTGGGGCAATAAGTCTATCAATAAATCTTACTTTAGTCCTGTTCAGTGACTGATATTTAGTTTTAAATCCAGTTCAGCGTTCCTTGTACCTTACACCTGATACAACAAGTCAAGCATTTGAACACGCCTCGAGGTTTGTTTGAAATAGGCCTGTACCGCTATTACTATTTTAATAACGCTGTAACCAATTTTATTTTCAGATTTTTCAACTCCTTATGCAACATGAGTTACGATTTCGCTATAGAATTTGTTTTAAATGGCACCAAGCACGATGTTGTGAAAATAATGGAAATTACATCTACACCCCTTCTCGTGTACAATATGGTGTATTGTTATCCACCCGCACTTGTATCGAATGTTTGGGTTTCTCGTTGTTACAGGTTTTATTTTCTTGGAACTCTACATGGCAATCGGAAATGTCGTTCCTTTCATCTTACAAATAGTTCTTGTGACACATTCTTTGACATTGTGTGGGTTTTTTCCGAATACGAAACTGAAGTTTATGAAAACAACACTTTAATCACAAGAGAGTGTGGTTTAACATTATATCTTCCCAATCCTGTTTTGGTGTCTACACCTACACTAACCAGTTCCTCTGGATACGGAGGAATTTTGACGCCAGAAACCTTATCAAACATTAACAGCATTAGTCCTGCCATAACAACGACAGCTTCTAATAGTTTTGGGGCAACTATTCTTACATCATCATTCAGCGGTTCGATTGATTGGTCCTCAACCGTCAAACAAACGTCAGTTTTACAAACACAAATATCTAGTCTGTTACAAACAGACACCTCGATCACAAAGCAAATTGATTCTTCGACGCCAATCAGTTTTAGAACCGTACCCCAAACTTGGGTAGCCAGCACTTCCGACAGCCCATCTACCTCTAGTGTAACTTCTCCTCTAACAAACAAAACACCGGACACTGTTATCATAATACTATCAGCAACGGTTTCCATATTAGTTCTAGTAGTGATCATTCTGTTGGTTGTTGTCTTTATATTACTTTTCAAGACACGCCAAAGACAACTAATAAAGACAGAAAATCAGGGATACCCTATGAGTGGAGGGACGAATCCAGCGTGGAAAGACGAACCAAATGAAGAAACGGGAAGGAAATCTGCTACTGAACGTGAACCAGAATACTCTCCCCTGTCTGACGTGTACCTGGACACACAGGGCGACTACCTGACCATTTCTGACACAACTGACCAGACATCTCCTGTGACCACTCACGGTTATGACAACTTCATATTCACTGACCTTAACCCACATACAACTAGTGATCCAGCTGGTTTGGATTTGATAGTTACCTAACCTTTGTTTAAAAATAGCACCAATAGAACTACGCCACCAAACATGGTTAAGGACGGGCACATCAGCCCGTGATACATTCTATGAGGCCAAGTAACTTACGACACGGCTACTCTACTTCACCTAAAAATAAATACATGCACTCATGCGTGCTTACAATGCAATTATGCTGACTGATTTCTTTCGAGAAAATTTCTTAAATGATGATAAATATATGCCTTAAATGACTCGTCAATATATGACAAACAATGTTTAGAATATTTATGACAACAGCATTAACTTGATTTTATTAAGAACGTTTGACGAGGACTCTCCAAATACATGTTTGTTTGATAAACTTAAACATTTAGTAAAAAAAAAACAGACATGTAAGACAATTTTTGTTAGCACTATGCTTTAAAAAATGGAATTTAAAAAGCTAAATTTAAATGTGTTGTATACATTTTACATTACAGTTAAAATTTAGATGTACCATGTTTTTAAAAGCCACAAAGATTTATTTATACACACTCGTTTATTAATACACACCAATACAGTCTTCGAGTGGCGAAAGTGCGTTGAATTTTCGACACCTAATTGCACAAAAAGAACTGCAATAACATTATAAGGCTGCGTATAAAAGATTGTTGTTTGATTTCATTATTTTTGTCAACATATTTATCATAATGATTGTATGTATGCAAATATTTATAACATTAATTAAAAAAATTTAAAAAGTTTAATGTACTTTATTATATTAACACATGTAACATAAATAATATTTTGATTCTTGTTGGTCAATGGTATGGTGATATTGTTAAAATGTTCCTGATATGTTAGTAGTGAAAGTAATTACGGCAAAATATGTTGATGGTGTCTCTGGGTATATTGGTCGTAATGTTGGCGTTGACGAGAATTGTGATGTTTGTTTTGGTGACGGTTGTGTGATGGTGGTGCTGATGTTGGTGCTGATGATGATGGTGATGACGTTGGTGATGATATTTGTCCTAAAGATGTTGATGATGTTGGTCCAGATGATACTGATGACGTTGATGATGATGATGATGATGGTGATGTTGTTGTCAGCACCAAGTAGCGTCTGCCACACGATGACACAGTGTGGACACACGATGACACAGCAGCGCCACAAACTGCAGCAGGAGACACGCGCCGAACATGCACAGGAAGATGATACCTGCAGCAAAACATCTCGCTTAGACAGTATTGAAAACTATAGTGCTCATGAAACAATAAGAATAAAATAATTAAACTTCATTTGAAACAGTTACAACAGTAGGCACGGTGAACTTTTTACACATTGGTCGTTATTAAAGAAAAACAAATACCAACAACATTTAAGTAAAATATTAAAGACATAGTAGTAGTACCTAAATCACCGTTGTCACATTACCTAATGTTCTCCACTCATCTGGACTAATGATCTTTAGATCGATCCCTATTCTAGAAGTAGACCACATACACCTATCTAAAGTTATGTTCTCTAATGGAACGTGGTTTTTTTAAATGCGTACACTTAAAAGACACAGTGATGTATTATGCAGGTATAACTCATATTAAGGCTGCGTTACTCATGTGTTTGTGTTTACCTAAAGGGTTTGTATACTTACACTAGGCATGCTGCCCAGCTTCGCTTGGGCTTTCGAAAACATTAAGAATTTGAATACCTAATTAATTCGCCCATATAAGGCGCCGGTCAGTCGAGGTCAGTTTTGACCCTCTCATCGTAGACTTTTAGGCCAACCAGCCCCCGTGTTCTGTCGCCCCAAGGCAAGATCCTGCCAAATTTGAAGCGCCTGCGGCGCCGGGAAGTGTCTATCGGG